AGTATGATGGTCCCTTTATTATCATGCATAAGAGAGCCCCTACGACGATTAGAAGTCCATTTGAGAAGGCTGTTGCAAAGATTTGGGATCATTCTATTAAGGGTCAAAGCAAGAAGAACCGAAGAGCTGAGTACCTAGTCCAGTGCGAAGGTGACTCTAAGGAAGATGCAGTTTGGGTGAAGGATACCAACTTGTGGCAGTGTGAAGAAAAGATTGAGGACTATTGGCAAAGCCATGATAGAGCTTTGTAACCTTCGACAAGGACATCAGACTCTCCTGGTGAGGGAGGTTTGTTAGACTTATAGGATGGGCGGGTCCTAGCCTCCTAGGCATGTTAAGTTGGCCTTGACTTGGCAGCGACCTAAGGTTGGCATCAATGTCGTCCCTTAGTTTCATCACGCTTAACATGGATCAACATGGGTTGGACATGGTCAAGGGCAGTTTAGTCGCATTGGGTGTTGGTTTTCCGTGACTGGCAAGGTGGGCCTTGGGAAAGCGTGGTGCAAATATGGGAACACCGTTGCCTTCCCGGCCAAGAGGAACTTGTTCCTTACGATAACATCAAAATAAAGGAACTTGTGAAGGCCAATTACGCAGATCAAGGTAAAAGGAAAGGGATAACCTCGTGTTCGGCTATGCAAATAAAAAGGCCATGAAGCGGGGGTACGAGACTTACTTTGTTGTCATGATGGAAATAAAGGAGGGTGTGTACCAAGATGTTCCAGGAGAAGTTGCTAATTTACTTGATGAATTCAAGGATGTGATGCCACCTAAGTTGCCAAAAAAGTTACCACCAACGCGGGCTATGGATCACAAAATCGAGTTAGTGCCAAGAGCACGGCCTCCAGCTCAGGCTCGTTACAGAATGTTACCATCAGAGTTAGCGGAGTTATGGTCCCAACTGAATGAATTGCAAGAGAATGGTCTATTGCACCCGTCTAAGGCTTCTTATGGCGCACCAATGTTGTTTCAGAGGAAACAAGACGGAACTCTACATATGTGTTCTGATTATCGTGCTTCAGACAAGGTAACTGTAAAAAATAAGTATCTTAGTCCGATGCGCGGGATTTGTTCGACAATTTGTCAAAGGCGTGGATCTTCACAAAGATGGACTTGAGGGCAGGGTATTGAAAAACTAGAATTAGTCCTGGAGACGAAAGTAAAACCACTATTGTGACTAGATATGGGTCATACAAATTCCTTGTAATGTTGTTTGGCTCGACAAACGCTTTGATAGCCTTCTATTTTTTTTTTTTTTTTATAACATGTAAGTATATTAGAAATCGAAAAAAAATAGCATTTTACAATGCATCAAATCCAAATCAAAATGACTATCTAAGCTAGAATAAACTAACCTAGATATAATGCATCAAAATAATGGGACAGACCCCACCTCACAAATTAATGTTATACAATTAAAGTGCATATCCCAATGCGCGGGATATCACAAAATCAAAAGCTCATAGTCTCTCAAATCCAAGATTTAGGCCAATAAAATCAAACAAAAACTAGCTTCAACAAGTTCCTAATCTAAACATCCAAAGAAAGCCCGGAAAGGAGTAGTGAATTTAGCATCAAAACAAACCTCCCCTTTCTTCTTTGTAACTCCCGGTAATCCCTCTAGACATCTTGCGGTGAAAGTTAAGCCCTTTTTATCCAAATCGTCCGTAAGTCGAAGGGAAGTATCCACTCGAATCACACTAGCCCGCACAAATCTAAACGGTTTGACAACCAACTTGAGTGTCTTACCGTTAACCATCTCACATTTGATGACGACATCATGTTGGTGCAAATCATTATCATCCGTAACTACCCTCTCAATATCTTCCAAAGCGGCCACGGATTGTTCATTTGAGCTTTTCACAACTTCTGGAGACCATTGGGTTTGCTCCTGGACAGTTGTATTTTCATGAAACCCGGTCGGGTTAAGGCCTGGCCCGGTCGGGTGGAGCTCCTGGGCAGATTCTGCCAGACTGGATTGGGCAGCGGGTTCAACAGTTTCCACAATCTCCGCAGGTATGTTTTCCACTCCCCCAATTTTTATTTGTTCATCTTCACCTTTCTCACTTGATTTCACCGTATCATCGTCCTTTTTTGCTAGCTTATTGCAAATAAACGGGTGGTGCCCATATATCTTACAATGGAAGCAAAAATTTGGGAATGTTTCATACACCACAAATTGTTTAACTACCTTCTGGGATGGTAGTCGAATAGGAAATGAAAGTGGCGGTGGCTTCGAAATATCCACTTCAATAAGCACTCTAGCAAAGTGGTGATTAGACCTATCATGTGTGACTTTGTCCGTAGCCAATGGGACACCAACCATGGATGCAATCTCACTCAAAGCATCCTCATTCCAAAGTTTCAAGTGTAAGTTAGGGAATTTAACCCAAATAGGTACTTTGAGAAACTCTTCATCATCAAAGGAAAAATCATCCGATAGTGCTTTTAACATAAGTAGTTTCCCAAAAATGGTGTAAGGTCCCTCTTTCAACACTTTTGTCCTATCATCCTCACTTTGAAATTTAAATATAACCCAACCATTATCATGGGGCTTAATAATGCACTTAACACCCCATGTGTTCTTCAAATCATAAATCGCTTTTAGACCGGGAAATTTTCCGGTGAAACAACCGACTAAACAAAAACCCCACATTTCAACCATACTAGGCATAATCCTATCGGAAAAGTCAATGGTTGTGCCACTAGGCGGGATGTACCTCAATTTAAAGCCATTCGAGGGTGCCCGATTGTCCTTAAAAAAGGAGGACCAAGGAGTAGCAGTCCCTGAGCTAGCTGCAGCACTGATAGCCTGGGTTCTCACAGTAACATTCTTTAAACCTTCAGTTTGTGCATGGTTTTCTTTCCCAGCAGCATTGACCATATCTCCTGATATTTGGGGAGCACTTCCAGCAAAATCTACCCCCTTAGCTTTCTGCACAGCACTCTTGGAGCCCAAAATCAGAGGCTCATCCTCAGTTACAGCAGCAGGAGGAGCCACAGGAGGTTGTTCACGAGCAGGTTGTTCAGGGAACTCCTCCCCTGCTCCATCTAGCACCGCAAACGAGGACCTGGTAATTCGCGAAGTTGAGGATGCGCCATTGACAAGTTGCTTCTTCCTCGCCATATCTGCGCATTACGCACGTCGCAGACAGAGGTCACAGAGGAGCCTGACCTCGTCTGAGCTTCAAACACCCACAGCCTCCACAGATTTAAGGCGATTCTCCACAGGACAAATAAAACCCCAAACAACACTCAAAAATCCAGATACAAGATTGTAAAGAAATTCAAAAACGACATGAACAGTAAGCCTTCATATCGACGGACTCGTTTTACGCGATTTGTGGTCGGAATCCTTCATCCTAAGCTCAAATTGAAACTCGAGATTAGGAGTAAAGGAAATCGCGACTAGGACACCACAAAATCCATCCTCAAAGCAGTGAAATTCGATGCAACCAGTGAATTCTTGTTCGAAAAAGAACCCAGGCGGAAATCCTAGGGAGAGAAAGCTCTCAACTTTTTCTTACCCAATGACTCTGCACATCTCTTACTTGTTTGTAAGTAAAGGCTTGATAGCCTTCTACAATCTAATGAATGATGTGTTATATGATTATCTTGATCTTTTTGTCATTGTTTACCTTGATGACAGTGTGGTGTATTTAAAGTCGTTAGATGACAACCTTGTGCATCTAAGGAAGGTCTTAACACAACTCAGAAGGAATGAGTTGTATGTTAAGAAAGAGAACTGCGAGTTTTGCATGTCCCAAATTTCGTTCCTTGGACATGTGATCAGCTAAGGCCAAATTAAGGTGACCCTCAGAAGGTAGAAGTTATTGTTGATTGGTCAGTCTCGAGGGATGTGGGTCAACTGAGGTCATTCCCAGGGTGTCCTAACAATTATCGACAATTGGTAAGCGACTACTTAAAGAGGGCAAATGTTATAATGAGGAAGAAGCAAATATGGAACTGGATAGAGGCATGTTAACGTCCTTTCGAGGATCTGAAGAAGGCAGTTGCGAGTGAGCTAGTGCTGAAGTTGCCTGATTTCGCTGCCTCGTTTAAGTTCATACTGATGCTTTAGACCGTGCTTCGGGCGAAGTGCTTGATCAGGATGATCACCCCGTTGCCTTTGAAAGCAGGAAGCTACAGGATGTGGAGACAAGGTATAGTGCCCACGAGAAAGAGATGACAGTCGTAGTACATTGCATAGAAGTATGACGACATTACCTACTTGGTATGAAGTTCAGGGTGGTGACCAACAATGTGGTGAACACATACTTCAAGTCCTAGAAGAAGATGTCATCGAAGCAGGCTCGCTGGATGGAGTTTCTAGACGAGTATGACTTTGATTGAGTTCATCGACCAGGCTAACACAATGTCGTGGCAGATGCACTTAGAGCGTAGGAAACATAAAGTAGTTGAAGAATATGTTAATGCTTTGGCAATAGTGCAAGGAAACATGGTGGACCAGATAAAGGAGAACTAAGGAAGATCAAAGCCATCAATTCTTGTGTGAATAGGTGAGACGGTATTGGATGGAAGATGGTTTCCTCATCGGCAAAAGAGGGTGACTATATGACCCTGTTGGCAAACTTCGTGTTGAGTTCTTCAAAGAGACTCATGAACCGCAGTGGGCATGTCATCCCGGTGTGGCACATATGTTTTCTTTGCTATCCAGAGACTACGTGTGGCCGAAAATGGAGCAAGATATTGAGGCATACGTGAGAACATGTCTTGTTTGTCAACAAGACAAGACAAAGAAAAGGAAGGGAGGTTTGCTGCAACCATTGCCAATCCCGAGCAAGCCTTGGCAATCTATTTCAATGTAATTTTAAAAAAACAGACTTTGAAAAACTTCATCTATTAACTTTATATAGGCAATATCAACAAATTGAAACCTATTATGTACGGAGTGAATTCGCAGAAGCAACAAATCTAGATCTACTTAAGAGTTCACTTTTTATAAGTTTAGTTTAAAAAGCTTCATAACTAAAGATATAGAGGCAAAATCAAAAAATTAAAAGTTATTAGATACCAAGTAATATAGCATTCAAATAAAAACACCTATTAAGTAGAAAGTGAAATTGATTTCAGTGGAAAACAGAGAAAATACTTCAAGGGTCCCCACAACGGTATATGTAATAAAGTTTTATAGCAAGATTGTAAAGGAGGATAATATGTGAAAAAGAGTCAGATATCCATTAAGGTATTCAATGTAATTTTAAAAGCTTTAGCTTGCAGCTTTACAATGTGTTTATTTGCATTAAATTATTTTCAAGGAGAAAATATCAATTTCTCCTATGTATCTAGTTGGGGATGTCAAACTATGGTGGTGTGACAAAATGATAGATAGCATTGCTTTAGGGAAACCTGGTATTGAGTGTGGGATGGACTCAATAGGGAATTAGAGATGCAATTCCTCACAATGTTTGTTGGATGGCTCCGGAGTCATTGAATAAATTGAAGCATAGTGGGTCAATAAAGGAGTATGTGACAGAGTTTCATCTCTCATGCTTAATATTTAAAATATGAGTGATGAGGACAAACTCTTCAACTTCATATCTAGTTTGCAACCATGGGCATGGGCCAAGTTGACAAGACTAGCTTTAAAAGACTTGCCCACGACCAGAGTCAGAGCAAAAAGTCATGCTGACTTCAAGGTGATGGTTCCTCAAGGGAAGAAAGGCGATCCAAGTATACCGACCTTTGCGAAACCTGCTCTTTCTTCATCGTTTATCATCACTCCACCTAGATAAGGGAACACTATTGTCTTAGCGGCTAGGGGAAACGCATTCCCTAGGATCACGTTAAAGTCATTCAAGGGCAAGACAGTTGGGCTACAAATTCCTTTTCAATCACCAACTTTGAGAGAAACATCAGCCCAAACAGTAACATCTCTAGCGACAGAATTCATCGTCTTCATCTTAGATGAGTTTTCCTCCAATTGTAGTCGTAACATGGCAACAAGACATTCTGCCAAAAATTTATTACTAGCACCAGTGCCAACCATCGCCAAGATTTTAACACCATTGATCGGTACTTCCACGTACATCAAACTCCGGTTCACAACCCATTGTGGTTTTCCATGATAATCGTCAATAGTTGTATAGGGCTACAATGTACTGAATCAGCCACATTATCTTGGGTCTCTTCGTCAACCATGGCTTTAGTCTTAGGGGCCTTGAACAATCACGCTGGAAGTGGTCACCACCACATGTCCAACAACCCCACTGCGTCTTATCCATCTCTTCCCCTTCAGAAGGGGTCTTCATCCCTCCTTTTTTCTTTTTGTCCTTCCCACCGGCCTTGACTTTTCCGCCATTGTCCTTCTTGCCTGGATCACCTTTCTTTCCTTGAGGAACCATCGCCTTGAAGTCAATATGACTTTTTAAATACGAGGAACCTCGACTGTGGCCGTGGGCAAGTCTTTCACAACTAGTCTTCTCAACTCGGCCTATATCCATGGTTGCAATCCTGACATGAAGTTGAAGAATTTGTCATCATCACTCATATTATAAATATCAAACATGAGAGACAAAAACTCCTTCACATACTCTCGTATTGACCCATTATGCTTCAATTTATTCAATGACTCTCGGGTCATCCATGAAACATTGTGAGGAAGGAATCGCGTCTGCAATTCTCTCTTGAGTCCATCCCACACTCAATACCAGGTCTTCCCGAAACGATGTCATTTGTCATTCTACCATGCCACCATAGCTTGACACCCCCGACCGAATATATAGGAGAAATGTTTTCCTCATATGGAATTTTAACCGCATTAAAGTAATCTTCTATGTCTCATAAGAATTTATGCAACTCCTTAGCATTCCTGGATCCACCAAACACTTGGGCTCCACACTTTGATCTTCAAAGAACTAGCTTCAATGCCCTCGCGAGGACTCGGTGTTATTGCTTTCTTCAAGATCAGCACTTCAATTTTTAGCATCTCATTTTCATTCTCGAATGCTACCATCGAGGCCTCAAGGCACCTAGCCTATGCAACATGGGTCTGAATTATTCCTCAATGAGCACTTGAATGAAGATCTTCGCCGAATCCGGACCATCTTGGTCGCCAATAGACGATGCAATATCATTAGCCATGCTCTAATACTAACTGCTACATCGTGAATTTCGTGACTTAGAAATTCCATGCATGCACGACCTTTCTTAACACATTATTGGCGTGTTTACATCACCGCTAAAACCATAGTTATGTTAGTATGACAGGTGAAGTAAACACACAGGCTGTTTAAAAAGCCGTTTACTAATTCAAACGAGTGCTTAAAGTAATGCTTACTAAGCATATCACTCCTTCATGTATTAATTAAGCGAAAGTTTAAACCATTTTACTTTCCACATTTACCCTTACCCTTACCCTTGAGCAATACCTTACCCTTACCCCTACCCTACCTGAGCCCCCTACTCGTACGTGTACCTTACCCTTACCCTTACCCTACCCGAGCCCCCTACTCGTACGTGTACCCCTACCCCACCCCCTACCCCACCCCCTCTATTTCCTTGTACCCATACCTGTACATCCTACCCCCACCTGGTACCCTGTGCCCCACGTTACCCCTTACTCATCCCTCATTTTACCCCTACCCTCACCCCACCTCGACCCTCATATCCGTGCTCGATACCCCTTACCCCTACTACCCCTGTAACACCCTCATTTTCCCTTCCAAAATAATACTTGAAATAATAGATTTATTGATAATAAACTTGATTTATCCTTTCAAAACAGATAAAAAGTTTTGCAGCGGAAATAATATTAATTGGGAAATGGGTGTTACCGCCACATCCGGTCATCTCTTAACCGAATGCACAGGCAATCAAAAAACAAAGTAAAACAAGTGTTCAACATAATTGGATTGTTTATTCATGACTAGGTTTGACTAAGGCATCTTCTACGTCGCTCTCAGGCGCATGCAATCATCAATCAACATAGTCATCATTACCTTCACAAATAAAGTGCAGAAAACAAAACAAAGAAAAGGAAACAAAAATTAGCTTTAGAGCTAAGTAAGTACTACCCAACCCCGTAAAATAATCAGGTTTGGCGAAAAATAGTTTTTCATATAATACTATATAAAAATGACACACTCCACTAAAATTCTTTTCTCTTTGATATTTCTCAAAATCACTTATTTAATAAAGTCCTCAACTTTTCTTTGAAAATACTATAGTAACTCTTCTCTTAGAATTTCTCAAAATTCACTTCTTCTCTATCTTCCTAGTAATTTAGAAGGGCGGTGCTCAACACTCTGGTTGAGCCCGGTGGTTACGTTATTATGTACGGCCACCTCGGGACTTTTGCCGGTACCACAACTGCTAATGGAAGCGAAACGACTACCTTAAGTGTGCACACCCCCTGAAAGGGATTCCAAGCCCTCCGAGTAGTAAGTCGTCACGAGTAATCGGGACTCACTCTACCAACTACCCCACCTTTAAAATTCTTGAATGATTAGGGACTACTACTACTATAACTTCTCCTTAAAAGGGATCATAGATCCAAACGTCACTTCAAACTCAAACCGTACTTCTTAGTAGTAGCAGCCTTAATCACCCTCCACATTTATCCGGATGTGGAAAACCGACACCACGGATTTCTCCCGGGTGCTCACTTCTTATGAAAACGTAAATTTTATCTTGAATTTAGATATACTTCCAAAAACATATTTATCAATCTCTCTAAATAGTCTCAAAGGTATTTAAAAATATTTAATACCCAAAAGTACTTCGTTTGCACTTCTCAAATACCATAGATCGAATATCTCCTCAAAATCACATACACATAATTCAAAATTCACACTTAATCACATAATGCATAATAAGCATATAATACGAGGAAACAATTTTGGATCGGCAGAGAAACTTACCTTAAGTCCTGATGCTCCTAATTCTCTTTCTCAAATCCGGTCTCTAAATATTCACCTTTTTAATTAAGATGATATAATTAGTCACTTATTCTATTTTTAATAATTTACCCGATTTTTCCCTTTCACTTTGTTATTCGGATTTATTAATATAATTAGTTATTCGAGTTTATTTTATCTCTTAATCACTTCTTAATAATGAAATCACTTTATTACTTCAGCCATGATTTCTTTTATTGGAATACTATAATTATATTATAATAACCGAAATGCATTTAATTAATCAACTTTTTAATTTATTAATCACCAATTAATTTTTTCTACCTCTAAAACATCCAATTATTTTACTATAATTTAATATTGTTAAGATATACGGATTATGAACATATTCAAATTACTTCAATTATAGCTTATTACAAATATGTTCGTACTTAATAACTATCTCATACGATAGTATTATTTAAGCTATTTAAACTAATTCGGTAATTAATACAATAATCCTTTATTAATTTTAATCAAGTCTGATAATAAAAGGTATTTTTTTTGGTAATGATAATAAAAGGTATTAAATAATTAACTAATCTCAGTTCGTGACAATCTCTTTAATATCAACACCTATATATAAAAAAATCTGAATTGCATTTGATATTCAAATTTCATAATTTCCTTAATTTATATTAATCAACATTATTACAATTAGTAAATCCGAATATTAAAAAAATTATTTAAACTAACTAACCATGATTAACTTAATCTGATTTTATTAATTTACTCAAGCACTTAATATTTCCGAGTCCGTAATTATGTTAATTTTATTAATCTACATCTATTAATATAATAATTAGTGAAAATAATATTTATCCAATTTATTTGTAATAAAATATTCGTTTATTTTTATTAATCAACCCATCAATTCATTTTAACATTATGTAATTATTATGTCAACTAACAATTAACCAATTTATCCAAGTGATTACTACCAATCAAGCCAATTCCCTCATTAATATTTCTCATCTCAATTTTATCCATTTTGCAGATTATTATTATTATTATTATTATTATTATTATTATTATTATTATTATTATTATTAATATTATTATTATTATTATTATTATTATTATTATTATTATTATTATTATTATTATTATTATTATTATTATTATTATTATTATTATTATTATTATTATTATTATTATTATTATTATTATTATTATTATTATTATTTGTCATCCCAAATTTCGGTCAGCCGAATAGCACTTAGTAGCCCAAATTTCAGTCCAACATCAAGAAAGAAAAAGAACGCAGGTGTTGTCTTCTTCGTTGGAACATAGGTGACGCAGGAAGAATTTGAAGGGAAAGGATTTACCTTGACGGATGCGTGAAACGGAGGTGGTAGCGGGATCCTTCTGGGACGGCGATGGTCGGGAATGGATTGGCGGCGGCGGCAGCACCTCCTTTTCCGTTTTCCGTCGTTGCGGTTAGCCTGGTGAAACTCCGGCAAGTGATATCTCTCTCGCTTCACGACCGTTTTCTACGATTCTTTCACCCTTGGATTCCTCTCACGAAGGGGAAGGTTTTTGGAGTGTTTTCGAAGCTCGGTATTTAGTATAACGCTCAGTTGAATTTTTGTATATATGTATATAACCAACGTATGAAAGAGGTATATAGTAGTAATAGCTCGTTTGAACTCTTTGGATATTTTGCAGAGGTTGAACGCAGGTATCTATACACTTTAATGGGAGATTCTGGTGCATCCGCTAGGTACTCTTATAGTCTTATTAAGATGAATCCGACCTAGGCATGTGTGTGCAGCTCGTTCTTTTTGTTCTTATCGAAAGTTAGTTTATCATGGAACATGGGTTGTGGGTATTCGTTGGGTTAATCATCGCAGGTACAAATATATCACGACCCATGTGGGTGTGTAGCTCACATAATTTGTTGTATATGTGTACTGCATGTATTATTAAAGTATTATCTCTATATGGGAGTTTATATATCACGTAGTATTATTATTAGGTTCGAAGAGTCAACGATGTTGTTATTTTGGGTGGTATTTGGTGTATTTTGTACACATTATCAACTAATATTTTTAAAATTGTTAAGATGTCACTTTTATTATTGAAACATTTTTATCTGGTTAAGAATGTCACCGATGTTAAAATTTCGTCTGATTCACTTAATTATTAAAATGTCACTTTCGTAATATTTTATCTGACTATTAAAATTTATTTATTTTTTAATTTAAATTTTTGGAGTGTCACAACCCCGACCCCCGTACCTTACCCTCTACCCCTTCCCTTATTCCCTTGCCTTGATGGCTTGATAGGGTAAAGGGGGGGCATGGGAGCAGGGGGTAGGCCACGACAGGGGGTCGAGAGTAAGGGGCAAGGAAAGGGTAAGGGTAGGTGTACGGGTGGTAGAGGTAGGTCCAGGGGTAGGGGGTAGGCCCCTACATATTAACTTGTGTATACACGAGTGTTTGTGTGTATATATGTGAGGTTATTTTGAACGTGTTTTAAACCGTGTGAAGTAAACATGTGCTAATAGCACTGCTTATTTTATGCGCCGATTAATAACGCAGATCTTAATAAACAATGCTTAGTAACCAATGAAGTAAACATGTTCTAAGATAATTAGTCTTGCTCACAAATATGCTTACTTGTGTTTTTGTGATGCGCTTTAAGGGTGTCCTGTTGCACCTTTTTAACTTTGGTCGAGCCATGTCAAATAACAAAAATACAGTGACATTTTGGTAAATAAGTCAAAGTTTTCAATTGATGCAAAAAATGCATATAGAAACCTAATAGTGAATCACATTAGGGAAAAACTTAACGGTTTGCAATTCTTACGAGAAAAATTGTTTTTTATCTGCACCCTACATATATATACATATATACATAATATTATACTCCCTCTGTCCAATAAAAACTTCGGTTTTGACCAAGCACACTTATTAAGATAGTAAAAATTGTGTGGTGGAGAGTTATGCAGCCATGCAAAGGAGAGATAAATGTTTAAGAATGTGTAAGAATGATTTTTTTTTTAGAGAGAATGTGTAAGAATAGTTGTGAACCACAAATTCTTTGCCAAAAAGGGAGAGGAGATAAATTTGGGATGGACCAAAATGGAAAGAATGAAAATAATATTGGGACGGAGGGAGTATATGTAATATTATATACTACGTATATGTGTGTGTGCACATGTCTTGTATTTATACTTGGGTCCAATTCTTATACTCGGTCCGGCCCGGTTCTAATAATATATTTAAATATAGTAAATATAAGAGCCGAATATTTGGATAATGAACGACCAACATGGTCCAACAGTGAGCTTTAAGCACACAGACCCACAAAATTATAAAAGAAAACTATTCATGTTCAGGGATAAGCAATTAAATTTATCGCAAACCAAGCTTAGCTATATATAGGTGGACTCCAAATCGATGGTCAGCATGGGTGCTTCGTCCTACAAATTCAATGAGGGGTCGATATCAAGGACATACTGACAAGGGAGAAGAATACCCAATAGACATAATTAGGTCAAACTATACATATACTCGTCAACTCCACACAATGAAAATACATATAAACTTAATTAATCTTGACTAAATTATGCAAACATGTTGAACTTGCAGTTGTTTTTTCTTTTAATCAACAAATATCATATTTTCTGATTGTGTGCCTGTGAGCGTGAGCTAAAAACGCTGCAGTAATGGACAAACACGCCCAAACCAACCAACCAAGCATACAAGGTACACCGGGTCTAATGAACTAATGTCTTACATCAAGCTTTCAAGGTTGCCTTATTTATGGCCTTATGGATATGAACTAACTGAACAAGTTAGTCCACACTATCCACTGGGGTCCTACCTCGTCAAGCACTAGCATTTGCCCACTATCAAGTGAGAATTCTTAGACAAGGTATACTCGCATAGGCACAATTCTTAGATTGAAGACTATGGTAATGGCGAGATGTGAAGGATTGATGGACACTCCAATACATAAAAATGATTCATATGGGTTTGATATGGTTTTTAAGACAACAAAAGTAATGAACAATTTTGGTGCACCTGATAATAGTTTGAAGTGATGGCATCTTGTACATGCTACAACATGGAGCAAATGGAAGGCAGAAAACCTGTTTTCCCTTCATTGAGTTAACAATAAAAAAATTAACCGCTCCTGCCATTTACTTTGTAATCCAAAGGGGAGAACTAATAACCCTCTATGATCCGCTCATTTATACGCATATCAAATCCAAAAAGATTCCAATCCCTGCCCTTCTCCTCGCTACACTACATACATCATTTTAAGTAACACTCTCAAAGTGTCAATCCCAATCCAAAAACATAGTTAGTTTGGTAACCATGTTCATTTCTTTAGACGTATATGACATCTAAATATTCAATTGACAACATTTCATCTCACCCAACACATATCAAGTACATAAAATCAAATTAATGGTTAACCAACCCCAAAACACATCATCCAGCAAAGTCATTTAGAAAGCTAAGATACATTACAGAAAGAAATAACTGAAGCTCAAGAAAATAAGTAGTCTCCAAATTGTGCCTGACTTCACGTATTATCAATGTTTATGAAACCCTTTGCAATGTATATAATAAAGTAGGCATAGGCATTATCTGAATTGCAAGACACGAGCTCTATTCGTAATGCAATACCTATTGAACAAAAAACACCAACCTACTTCCTTGTGTTAACTTTATCCTCAGACGTAGGAACTGGTTGTATTCTCACATAAGGTTTTCTGGTCAATGTCTCTCCTTTTAATGCAGCAACATATCTGTCATTTGTATTCTCCTTCCTCTGCAGCTCCCCAAGATACTCTGCTAACCTCTCTTTATTAACCTTCCCCATCATCTAATCAGAAGAAGCAATGAATTAGATTAAAAAAGGTCGCCCTAAGGAAATTGAGTGAAACAACAATCTATCAAGAATGATTTTTTTTTTGTGAAACATCAACTGCATAGGACAGAGAAAAGAATTGCAGATGTAAAAACTTTTCTAAAAAAAGAATCCACAATTCCACCATAATTGGCACTTGTCATAAAATAGCGGCAAATCTTTTTTGAAACTGGTCTCCTTAACAAAGACATGTTTTATGAGAACTTTTCCCATACTAGACACACATAGACCTGATGAATTAAATCTAAAATTGAGAAAATATGGTTTTAAAAAACACGCTAACACAGAGGGAGAAATTCCCTGAAATTGTCAGGTTACCAAAGGAGGATCAGATCTCTAAAAAACGAAAATGAACTTCAAGAGTCAAAATGGATTGAGTAATATCCTAGGGTTTGATCAATCAGAGTTTTTTATTACAGAAATTAGGAAGCTGGAGTAGTGATGTGGATTAGTGTGGGGTGCGGACGTACTAAGCTTTCGGGCCGAGCATCACGGCGGAGCTTGGCTTCGAGTTCCGGATTGGTGGAGCTAGTAAGCTGCATGACGGTATATCCGATCACGCCGGGAATAACGCCGCATACGGTAGCGAAGCCTATGAAGAACGGTCTGGAATCCTTCGTCCTCCTAACTAACCACCTCCATGTTTGGCTCTTCTCCCACAGAATCGACATCTCCCTCTTTGTCTCGTTTTGGAATGGGCTTCACCACAAATAAAAAACTTCCCGACTGCCGTGGTGAAGAAAGAATGTAACCATAAACACGCTTCACAAAAACAGGCCCCTCAAATAAAAACTTCCCCTTTGTGCCTCCCACAAACTTTTTTTATTTACACTCCCTCCCAGCCATAATAAAATCTATCTAAATATAAAAGCACAACATTTTTGTTAACAAAAATCATCTTTGTACCCACTCTTATACCCACTTTTGTACCCACTTATGTTTGTGAAGTGTTTTTTTTTGTCTATAAACTCCGATTCACAGACAATATTTTGCACAAACAAAATATTGTTTGTGAACCAGGTTCACAGACAAAAAAAAAACTTTCACCAACATGGTGGGTATAAGATGAGTATAAGAGTGGGTGCATCAAGCATTGTTGTTTTGTGAATAGGGTTCCCTCCAAGAAATGTCAACATCATGATTTTGTTGGTTTTTTTGTCAAAAATTATTGCAAAATAATGCTTTGTGCTCCGAATTCTGAAGGCCCAAGTACATAATCTGGTGAACAAATCTGTGAGATCTCAGGTGTGCAGTTTTTATTGGCCAGCAGATTTGTGAACAGTTCACTCAAAAACTTCATTTGTTTCTACTGGATAACATGGTCGGTTGCATTGTTCGTAGAAAATATTAGGTTTCTTTGGTGTGGTTAAGATTGATTGTGGGTGAGACTTGGTTCAAGTACAATGCTCCTATTGGTTCAACCGAGTGGGCAGATCTACTTTAGTACGTGGTTCAATATTTGGTGTTTTTGAATGCTTGATTTCGATTGGTTATGATGGGTGGTGGAATAGTTATCTCATTTATTGTTTCTATGCTCAATAGCATATTTAATACAATGCGGATGCAAGCACAATCTTCATTCGCAGAGCCAAAAACTAATAGCTTTCTACATAAAGTATTTTTCAGAAAAATGGTTGGAATGTGATCAATGATTAGGGAAATTGATCAATCGAGAACTACGTGGGCCATAAAGGCGAGGGCAACGAGGGTCTATAGGGAACCCGCACATGATGGATTCCCCCGTCTATGGAAGTCATATTCCATGATGAAGAGGTATTGTAAATATCTTGAATTTTATACGAAACAAATGTTTTCCTGTTTTTATTTATCTTGATTTTTTGCAGGGGTCATATTCCATAGGGAGTTTTTTTTGTAAGCGTAACTTGAGGACTTTTTAAAGAGTAGAATGTTTAAGAATTTTAAGGGCATGAAAAAAATTTGTTTGAGAAAATAGTCTGTGCAGCAATCTAAACCCACTCCCTCGGTTTCACTTAAAAAATTCTTGGTTGGAACCCGTAGAAGACATTTGTCGTAAAAATGCGTGTAACGGAACAACAGGGGTGGATAAATTAAAAGTTGAGCGGTGCATAGATGAACATACCTTGGGTCGGGCTTGAGCAGGGACATCCTAAGTCTAGCCTAAGTCTAATTATTACAACATTTTTAAAATGAATCACAGAACACACACAAAAAAAGACAGCTTTGAGGACAACATTTCGTGTAATCGCCAATGGTCAACCTGCAATTCACAACATGTGGTACATCTACATCGTTAGGATG